TTTCCCAGCTATTGATTTTTTTTTTTAATCCCTTATAGATATAACGCATGAAGATAGAGTGCAATATTCTTACAATCTAAAATGTCTTATTTAAGACTGAGGTATGCATTGACACTTTCTCTGACTTCAGTGGAGACTTTTAGAGAGCCTTATGTCTATATAGTGTTTATGGTCCTATTTGTGTTCAGGGTTCTGAAATTTTCTGTACTTGAACTCTCTTTTTTTATGTGGTCTATAAAACGGGCATGTGAATGGCCACCTTTAAAGTCATTTTTTGTCATTACTATTTTCAAGCTATATGCATAAGAAATAGATTACTGTATTGTTTTTGTATTTTTATTTGGTGTAGGTCTTCTGCACTATTTTTTTTTTTTAAGAGCTGGGAAATTGAAAAGTGCTGTTAGGAAAATATTACATTTATTTCATTAGTCATCATGTCTCACGGTTCTTCAGATTTAAGAGTTGACTAGTTGTAAGGAACTTAATTTGACAGGCCAAACACTGTTAATAGTGCATATAATATGTTAAAACAAACAGACAAACAAAACATGCCACAATCACAGCAGTTTAGACTTGCACTGTTTCAAAATTAATAGGGTTTAATTTTAGGTGGCTTGCATGATGAAATTCTGAGTTAAATTCATCCATTTTACAAACATTAAAAATATTAACTGGTGCCTTCATGATATCACTTTCTAGCTTCAGAAAACAACTTGCAGAACAGACGTCTGAAACTTGACTATGAAGAAATCACACCATGCTTAAAAGATGTAACTTTGATTTGGGAAAAAATGTTGAGTACACCTGGAAGGTCAAAGATTAAATTTGATGTGGAAAAAATACACTCTGCTGTTGGGCAAGGTAAGCACAGTTCCTTATTTTGAATTGTTGAAACGCATGTAAATTGTACTAGGAAAGGAATAGGATGACCTCTTAACTACTCCTTATAAACCCCATTTTCACTAGAGCTGTTCCTCAGGTTGCTGACTAAACAAGTAACAACATTAGGTGTCTTCATGGTTATGTGTATGCAAGTAACAGTCCCTTTCAGTGGTAGCTGCAATTGCATTACTGGAGTTACTGTACTTGATACTAATTTTTTAAATAACTTTTGTCCTTACAGAAGAGTTGTACAGTACCTCAATGTATTATAATAGTTGCAATCTGATTTTATAAATTAAAAGTTATAATTAAAGAAAATAGTCTGGATAATGCCAAAGAAATGACTGCGTAAATAACTGAAGAAACTGTCTGCACTATTATCTGGAAAATATTATCTGTAAATTCTGTATTCTAGCCTGGGTACTATGTGTATACAAGCAGCATGCATGGATGTCTCTGTAGAACTGCCTTTTTTCTGGGTTCAACAACACATTGTACCTGCAGACACCACTTACAGTCTTATGCACAACTGCAGCGCTGAGCAAGCGGTCCCTCTCTCCACTGCATAAAAAGTAATATAACCTAAAGATGTTTTTTTAAAATGTTCTAATGAATTGGGTTATTACTCAGTGTTATTTGTGCCATGGTTGGAACTAAAGGCCTTATGCTGTATGCTCTATGTAGCCGATGGTGAAGATGGCTACCCCAGGGAGCTTTTTATAGTTCTATACAAAGCTTTCCAATGTGTAAGGGAAATGTCAAGGATTCTCCATTAGCAGAAGGCTAATATTTTAAATATTGGGCCTGCCTATATGCAATTATTCAACCAAGTTAAACCAAATTGTCCATTTAAGATGACCAGATAAGTCTAGATTTCTAACGCTGTAAAATACCCCAAGCACAAATTTCTGCAGAGTAAGGAAAGTTCATTATCACAAGTTTCCTTCCATTCGTGCAGGTAAAGGGCTCTGCCCAGTCTGCATTTGAGCATCAGAAAAACTTGGTTTCTGACGATAGTCCAGTGATGCTGGCCTCTGTTAGAGTTCAAAATAAAACTTAAAAAGAACTTGGAGTGATGCAAAATAAGTAAATAAATAAATAAAGCCCTGCTTAGTGGATTGCTAATAAGAAGCACATTCTAGTAGCCAGTAGGTGGGGAAATTATCCCTAGCTCTTGATGTTTTTACTGTGGTCTGCTCTCTAGAGCCCAGTTTTGTCAAGAGTTCTTAGAGTGAAGTGATGTCAAATTTCATACGTATGCAGAAATGAAAAATGCATTTAAGTTGAGTTTAGCAAGTTCTAGTTTAGACCAAAACCATTAAAAATAACTTGAGTAAGCTAGGCAAATAGGTAAGAAATGCAGATTTCAGTAAGCATGGGGCTTAAATTAGAATAACAAATATGTAGTGTTGACCTGGAATGTACACTTTAGTAGAAGTTTAAATATAGTACATTTAGGAAGTAGTAAACTAATATCAGACTACTTCCTTAAAGGCAATTTTAAGTCATTTGTAATTTAGCAGCTGTAAATGTGTGCTATTAAGCCAGTTCTACCCTGTGTGACACATTATGGATACTGGATCTGATGGTCATCAATGCAAGTGAGCTGATCGGTGGCATCAGGATTGGAGGCAGCCCGGACTGCAGTGATCATGCACTGGTGGAGTTCACAGTCCTGAGGGATATGGGTCAGGCAAAGAGTACAGTCAGGACCCTGAATTTTAGGAAGACAAAATTCCATCTCTTCAAGGAGTTAGTCAGTTGGACTTCCTGGGAAACTGTCCTCAGGGACAAGGGAGCAGAACAGAGCTGGCAGATCTTTAAGGATGTTTCCACAGAGTGCAGGAGCTCTCAATGCCAAGGTGTAAGAAATCAGGTAGGCAGGGCAAGAGACCTGCATGGCTGAGTCGAGACCTGCTGGTGAAACTGATGGGTAAGAAGGAAATGCATAGGCAGTGGAAGTGGGGACAGGTATCCTGGAAAGAGTATAGGGACGTTGCCCGTTGTGTCGGGATGAGGTGAGGAAGGCCAAGGCGCAACTGGAGCTCAGGTTGGCTAGGGAAGCGAAGACTAGTAAGAAAGGCTTCTGTAGGTATGTCAGCCGGAAAAGGATCTTAAATCTCTCCTGTTAAGCTGCTGATGTCTTTTATTGGTTGAGGAAGTATAAGCACTGCAGTTTGATCTGCTTCTATGGTCTACTGGAGATAGCAGATATGGATCTAGCAGACAGGGATCTATTTGCATATCTAGCAGATATGGATCTGCAGTTCATCAATCCTGTTAGCTCAACTGTAGCTGAACCCTCAGGATGAGTACAAATTACTTTTTTAATGACTTTCTTCTCTCAGGTGTACCACGTCACCACCGTGGGGAGATCTGGAAGTTTCTGGCAGAGCAATACCATCTTAAACATCAGTTTCCAAGTAAACAACAACCAAAGGACACACCTTATAAAGAACTCCTAAAACAACTAACTTCCCAGCAACATGCAATACTTATTGACCTAGGTAAGTACAGTAGTGGTCTGAAATTAAAAGAAGGGGTTTATGATCTCTGGAAGAGAATTAAATAAAAGAAGGTTACACACAAAAAGCCTCTTACCACTTAATAATAGGTTGTTGGTAAGAACTGCTTTTAATCTGGTATAAATGAGAACTATTACTTGACACCATTAAGAAAATGAAAAATCTGCATTTCAAGCACAGAGGTCCTTTGCAAAATCTGGTAATAAGAGATTGCTAGATGTAACTGTAATGCACCTGTATTTCAGATATTGACAGTGAACTCCATAGGCCCATGGAATACAAATTGTCAAGAAAGGAAGTCAATATTTAAGTGCAGACTGTTGAATAACAGGTGCTATTCATTCCTGATATTCAGTGTTTGTTGTCTCTGTTAAACACTTCCACTTAAAATATCACAGAAGTTTTGCTTTTGGGGTTTTTTTCTTTTTTTAATGGGTAGTTGCTATCAGGTAGTATTTTTACCTGTGTTAAAACAATTATGAAAAAAGTTCTTTTTAATAATAAATTTAAAGGCAGCTTATTCACACTGCCTAATTTTAAGCAGTAGCTGGCTCCTGATGTAGGGACAATGAATTGGTCTGTAGAGGAATATATACTACAGTCTGAGTTTAGTAGAGAGGTTAGGAACCACAGCTCTTAAACTTGAAGTGTCTGGTAGGTGGGCTTCAAAATCAGTAATTTTGATTAAATGTATTTGCAATTAAAAACTCCCATCAGGGGAAATAATGCACCGCAAGCAACCAAATGTCATGTGATATAATGATAAAATTTTATGAGACAATCTGTACTTGGTTTGATCTGTATGATTAATACCTCAGTATTATTTTCCTTGTCTTTTCTATAAAGAAGTAGTACAGAGTTGTGCCATCATCCTTCTGCTCTTTATAACTATTCAAGCAGTGTTTGAGTATTTATCATTACAAATGAAAGGCTATACCCACTTTTTCCACATGGAAGAATTGCCTGCTCAGGGATCAGCTATACATGGAGTTGTCCATGGGGCACCTATTTCTTAATAACTCAATGTGCAGACTGTCTTCAGCAGGTGCTGAACTTGTGAGATTTGTCAAGTTTAGATGGTGACCTAAGGTTTATGTGGTAAATGAGACTATTTTCTCCTTTTTTGCAATACTTGGTAAAGTGAGTCAAAATATCAAGGCAGTGAATAAAAAAAAAAACGATTCCAGTGGAACAGGCATGTTTCTGCAGAAACTGGCACAAGCTGAGGTGGGGAGGGTGATGGTCAATGCCACCTACTTGACAGGCCTGCCAGGTTTTGACTTGGCACTGGGAAAGTAACACTCCAAGGAGCCTTAATGGCAGCTGGGAATAGGCAGTTGCAAGCTGTTCACATTTTCTGCCTGGTTCTGCACACAAATACTTTCTCATTCTAGCCATGTGCTCTACTTGTAGAAACATGTGACTGCATGTGTTTGCAAATTGGTACCTTCATGGTGGTTTTCCTGCAAAGTGTTGGTTTTGCTGGGGAGTTATTTGCTAGCCCATTAGCTGAGGGAAGGATTGGGCCCTATTATTTCAGTAAGATGAAACTAGGAAGCTGAAGACTTCCTAGTGATTCACATTGAAATAGAGTAGTGCTGCACAGTAACAGACAACATAACTGCATAGGCAGCTAGAAGGAATTTGCATGCTCTGACTTGTGTTCCTTCAGGCTATCAAAAGTGTTTTCTCTTAAATCTTTAGGAATCCTTCTGAAAGCATGCACTTACTTCTCCCTTGAGAGAAAAACCTATATTCTTGCAACATGTGATTACAATATTCTAAAAAGCGTTCCCAAATTAAGCTAAAGAGATCTTACTAACACAGTATGAGCCCACATTGTAATAGTATTGCTCACACTTAGTTGAGTCAATGCATCTTCAGCTGTAAATAATGCTTCCTGAGAATGAGGACAGCAGTGTGCATCTGGATGCAGAGGTAAGGTACAGCAGCCACTTTCCTGGCCCAGTTTACATGTCACAATGCTATTTCATTGCATGGGCAGGAACAAAGCCACTATTCCTTGAAGTCTTTTTTGTGTATTTCCTTTTGTGGCCCCACCTGCACAACCACTGCAATCATTGGGGATTTCAGGTCCTGAACACCAGTCATGTTCAGTAAATGATTTCTTCTCTCAATAAAGTAGGGTAAACTGACTTCCAGATGCTATTAGTGTAGGAAACCACTGTACTCATCACTGAGTGTTTGCTGAACACAGTAGAATGTTATGTTTTGTTACTACATTTCAAGAATAAAGTAGTAGGTACTTACTTTCTCATTCTGGTGCTCTTGAGGTATCACAGTTCATTTAGAGTCTCTTTTCAGCAGAGCCAGGAGTTGTTTGCTCCTGAGTAGAAGCTAAAATTCTTAGTTAAGTCATCACCAGGGCACTCGGAAACAAACCAGCTTGTGAGTTTAGGGGTTCTGCTCCTCCTCCATTTACTGTTTTTTTAGAACTTCTTTGCATTTTTATTCTTGCTTACCTTGTAACTTTTCTTCATTACTTATATGAAAGGAGCCTTGCTGTGTGAGTAAGGCAGTACAGCTCTGCCTTTTGACTGTGCTGTAAAACTCTGTCGTTCAGGCAGAGGATTCCTTTGCAAAGGAACACAAGCTCCTTCTCATTTGGAAGCTAGAAATATTTCTTCTGTAACATTAAACTCTGTGACAGCCTGGCTCAGCAACTGAATGCCAGTGTCCCATGTGACAGGCTAGAGCAGCTACCAGATGGCAGAAGGACTCTGCCCCGGGCTTTGTCTTCTTGAAACAGGAGCTCTGATATTATCTGGCAGCACAGCAGCATTCCAGGAGCTGAAGGGTGGGGTGGTATTTAACAAGTGAGCAACTGAAAAACAGGCTCCACTTAATGCTAGAACAAAAGAAGTATTCAAATTTCTTCTCAGCTGAGGAATTTCACAGGGGAAATCTGATAGGGGGAGGATTTTTTTTCCTAGAAATTAAAATATTCCCTTTTGGAAAAGTTTAACAAAAAACCAAAACAACAAAAAAGCAACTGAAAAAGTGAAGCCTTTAATGTCTGTGTTCACAGAATCACAGAGTGGTTGAGGTTGGAAGGAAGCTCTTGAGATCATCTAGTCCAATGCCCCTGCTCAAAGCAGGGTCATCTAAAGCAGGTTGCCCAGTGCGGTGTTCGCTCAGGTTTTGAATATGTCTGTAGGTGGAGACTTCACAACTTCTCTGGGCAGCCTGTGCTGGTGTCTAATTTTTTCTTACATTAGGTGGAATTTCCTGTATTTCAATTTGTGCCCATTGCCTCTTGTGCTGTCAGTGGGCACTACTGAAAAGAGCCTGGATCCCTCTTCTGCATTCCCCCCCACTGGGTGTTTGTACACTTTGATAAGATCCACTGAGCCTTTTCTCCTCCAGACTGAACAGTCCCAGGTCTCTCAGACTTTCCTCATAGGAGAGATGCTCCAGTCCCTTCATCATCTTAGCTGGCCTTTGTTGCACTCTCTCCAGTATGTCCATATCTCTCTTGTACTGGGGAGCCCAGAGCTGGACACAGCACTCCAGGTGCAGTCTCACCAGTGCTGAGTAGAGGGAAAGGATTACCTCCCTTGACCTGCTAGGAATGCTGCTCCTCATGCAGCCCAGGATACTGTTAGCCTTCTTTGCAAGGACACATTGCTGGCTCATGTTCAACTTGGTGACCACCAGGACCCCTGGGTCCTTTTCTGCAAAGCCGTTTTCCAGCTGGGTGGCCCCCAGCATATACTGGTGCATGGAGTTGCTCCTCCCCAGGTGCAGGATTTTTGCACTTACCTTTGTTGAGCTTCATGAAGTTCAGCCCATTTATCTGGCTTGTCCCTCTGAATATCCAGAGGTCCCTCTGAATGGCAGCATGACACTCTGGTGCATCTGCCACTCCTCCCAGTTTTATATCATCTGCAAACTTGCTGAGGGTGCATTCTGTTCCTTTGTCCAAGTAGTTAATGACCCTTTCTAATCAGGGATCAGTTACAACAAAGGCTACAGGCACCCTGTCATCAAAGACAGCTGGCAAGAGTTGGTTAGAAGCTGCCAGAGCTACTCTTACCACAGCCTTGGCCTCACCTGCCAGCAATGGTACCCTCAGGTTCTCAGGAGTCCCCTGGTGATCCTAGGTGAAGCATCCAGATGCTCAAGAGCTCAAAGAAGCAAAGCCCCGAAACTGCTGCACAAAGTGCTGTGTCTGGCTGCCTGTGTTTGCTGCATTCTCATATGATATGTATATAGTGTATGTCATAGCAGATATATAGCTACACAGTTCTTGATGTTGTAAGGGCTGCAGAAAAAAAGACAAATTGAGTTTTTACTCACCGAGTAAATACTGTAGGTCAAACTGATTGCATAAGTTACCTAGTTGGATTGGTTTGGTTTAAGGATATGTGTCTCCCAGCTCTGTATGAAAGTTTACAGATAAGCCAATCTGGGGTAGAATTCATCATCTTGTTCTAGAACTGAAGGACTGGAAATGGCTCAGTTGTGCTCCTACAGCTCTACAATTAGTATAGTTTACCTTAGGCTGGGATTTAAAGAGATATGGGGAATAGATCTAAAGCTCATTGCTACCAAGAGGAAGTTTTGCTCTGACAACTGACTCCATCTCTCCAACCACTTACCATTTGTGCTGGTGCTCATGGGATGCCTCCTGGAGCTGACACAGCTGAGCGACAGGGCAGAAGAACTAACCCCATATAAAAAGAAATTTTTCTACCTGGTTAGTTAACTGGATCAGCTCATGGAAGAGTCAGAGCTTCATGCTGCAGGAAATGATGGAGGGACCAAGGCAAGGAGGGAGGTGACGAGACA